CATAGAGCCGTAGTTCACTGACAAGCTACACAAAATCGCTTTCAAAATCGCAGGCGATTCATTGCCGTGAACTCTGTGTAGTAAATGCCGCTCCATCTGAAAGCACGTGCTGGAGATTTACTACTTATCACCAGAAGCGGCTTTACTGATGAGATGAAAGCATGAAAGCCCTAGCTATAGATGTTTAGTTAGAAGTACTTCATTGAAATTCAGGCATTTCTTTTAGATGTAAGAATGCATATATGGATACCATATCTACTGTATTTTTGCAGACATCAACGAGTGTGAGGTGATGCCTAACCTGTGTAAGAACGGCCAGTGCATCAACAGCGTCGGCTCCTTCCGCTGCCATTGCAACGTGGGTTACACCGATGGCTTCACTGGCACTTCCTGTGTCGGTACGTTCTCCTCGCTCACCGTAACCCTTATTTAAGACAAAGTGTGATACGGTTCTAAAAGCCTGTTTTGATGCAATACTTGATGCTTTTCAATTAGATATGGACGAGTGCTCTCAGTCGCCCAAACCGTGTAACTTCCTGTGCAAAAACACCGAAGGCAGTTACCTGTGCTCGTGTCCCAGAGGATACATCCTACAGCCTGATGGGAAGACCTGCAAAGGTTAGCTCATAATTAATGTGTACATTTTTCCTTGCTGCGATTAAAATCTGGTCGTAGCAATAATTCGCCCCAATGATCAAACCAATGTGTGCTGACATGAAAAACTGCTTATTTCATCCCAGATTTGGACGAGTGCTCAACCAAGCAACACAACTGTCAGTTCCTGTGCGTCAACACGATCGGTGGCTTCACCTGTAAATGCCCCTCAGGCTTCACACAGCACCAGACGGCATGCATAGGTGAGTGATATGAACTCAAACCGCCCGCTAACATGCCTAGCCCAGAGTCTAAATAATTGAGCGGGTCATTTGGAGCTAAAATTGCCTCCATGCTTCATCTCGTAGACAACAACGAATGCAGCAATCAGCCAAACCTATGCGGCTCCCGCGCCTCCTGCCTCAACACCCCCGGCAGCTTCAACTGCGAGTGTCAGAAGGGCTTCTCTCTGGATGGCACGGGAATCAACTGTGATGGTAGGTTTCCCATTATGAGCCCATTTGAAATATTTTGCAGATATCGCTTGTTAATATGTATATATAATATATATGTTATATGCTTTTGTTGAAACCATCTGTTCACATTAGTTCATAATCGTGTTTAACAGCAGAATTCGTGGTGGAAAAACTACATTACCCATGATGCTTTACAGAAAATTCCGCCAATCAGAGTTGTGGTGATCAAATCCTGCCTACAGAGGTCTTTAGCCCCACGCACTCCCACAAAGCACCGCAAATGACGTAATCAAGCCGCTCTCAAAATACTTAAATTAGTGCTGTCAAAACGCGTTAACGCAGGCGATTAATTTTTTCCCATTTAGCGCGTTAAAAATATTTAATGCAATTAAGGCAGGGGCGGATCTAGGGTTGGCCACCCCACTCACAACCACTGCTTCTGTCTCTTTTTTCTGGAAAACAATTGCATTTATTTAGACACAGAACCTCTTTACGACCATATCAAACGGGAGACTTTTCAAATGCACACTCCAACTTTAATTTCAGAAAAAATTTGCGATTAGTGAAAAAAATGTCATCGATTGACAGCACTAACTTAAATACAGATTTTACTTTCTTTTTTAAGTTCCGAGTATACTTCTTTTTACGCGTTCTGCTCCGTCTCGCACACAGCCGTGTCAACGTGGCTTTCAAAGCATATTCAACGCATCGCAGTACCACCTCGTGGACTTGTTCTGTCTCAACATTCACCTCACGCCTGCGCTGTTGTACGCGGATGTCCGCGGACACTTCTGATTACGAAAATTGCATCACACGGACAGTGCACGGACCGTCACGGATCATGAATGCCCGAAGTATACTTTGGGCTTCAGATTGTCATTTGCAATGCTTCATGGAATTGTTCGGTTTGGTTCATGGCTTATAATGCTTTAACGAAGCATTTTTCAAAATCCCAATGGGAAAATTGATTGAAAAAAATTATAATTATGGAACCAACACCGCTAAGAAGGTGGGCGGGCACAAACGCAATCTATGCCACCATATATTAGAATCACATGCTAACCAAATTTTGGTTTCTGACAGACGTCGATGAATGTGGCGGAAACCACCGGTGCCAACACGGTTGCCAGAACATGTTGGGAGGATATCGTTGCGGATGTCCGCAGGGTTACGTTCAGCACTACCAGTGGAACCAGTGTGTGGGTAAGTATTTCTACGCAGATGAAAAGCGATTTTCAGTTGCGCAGTTGTCCTAATTTCTGTGTCTTCCTTCCACCCAGACGAGAACGAATGTGCCGGGAACCAAGTCTGTGGGTCTGCATCTTGCTATAACACTCTGGGCAGCTATAAGTGCACGTGCCCGTCAGGTTTCGACTTTGAGTCCTCTGCTGGCGGATGCCAGGATGTTAATGAATGCAACCTGAACAATAACCCCTGCAGCTATGGCTGCTCCAACACAGATGGCGGATACTTGTGTGGCTGTCCCGGAGGCTTCTACCGAGCAGGACAAGGGTGAGTATTTAGGCTAGCCTGCTCATATTTGTTTATGCCACAAGTGTGCATTCCTGCTCCTGGAGGACAACTTTCTTTCAGAGTTCAGCTCCAGCTTTCTCCAACGCACCCACCTTGATGCTTCTAGTAATCCTGAAGACCTTTACTAGCTAGTTCAAGGGGTAAAATCTAGGAAGGTGGCCCTTCAGGAGCAGTACTGGATACCCAAATAGTTTGAACATACTGTACACTATATAGTAGGGAGGTCAACTCTGGTCTTGGAAGGCCACTGTCCTGCAGGGTTTAGCTCCATCCCTAAACAAACACATCTGAAAAATCCAACATCCAAGCGTACTTGAGCATTCAAAATCATTGGCAAGACTTTCTGTAAGATGTCAGAACATGACCACAGGATTTGCTTCCAGTCAGACAAAACAACATCAATAGCTGCTTTTCCACTGTCGGGCCAGTGCGATACATTGATCATAATTAGAGGTCGACCGATGCCGATATTTAGAAATCAGGGCAGCCGATGGCCGATGTATGATGCCAGTTTTTTTGCCCGATATGTTTGAGTTTGAGTAAATGATTATTGCATGGTACAAAATAGTAGTAGTAGTAGTAGTAGTAGTAATAGTAGTAGCCTAATTCATAGTAATAATAGATGGCTCAAAATTTGAGCACCTTCTCAAAACAGTTCTGAAGCATGCTTTTTGTTTATGTTTGCTGACAGACACCAGTGTTTCCCACACTTGCAAATGAAAATTCATTCTCTGCCAGCAGGAGGCGCTGTTGGAGCAGGAGATATAGCAGATTCCCTGGTAACGGATGCAATCTAATAAGTGCTGCGCTCACAAAAGCTACTTTTTTCAGGCATTACAGGAAAGACGAAATGAAAATTACATCGAAGCTTTTCTGAAGACGGTCGGTTCTTTTCAAATAAACATTCATATAAAAACACACGCGCTGCATTTTAATTTTGAAACGTGCAGTTCTCAGTTTATTCAACGAAGTATAAGCCTTTTGGAGAATCTATTTGTGGCGGTCAGTTTTGATATTGTGATGAGCCGCCACAAATAACTCAATGTATGGGAAACACTGGACACTGCTATAAGTCAAATGGCCATAATCTAAGTGATAACACAAATAAAAGAGTTCACGCATATTAGACAGCCTGCTGCTTATAACTGCTTAAGAGTACGCTGGCCACGAGCTATGACATTGTGGAGGCTATTGTCGGACCCACAGACACATTTCATGAGGAAAGTTAACGTGCACGTTATAATCAGCCCAGAAGTATAGTATAATCAGCCCAGAAGAAACAGAATTGCACGTGTTTCTACTTTCACATGCAAATGACTTGTTGCACTTATGAATATGATAAGCATGGTCGGCATCAATTCTAGTAGGGTAAAACGTAAT